AAAAAAAAAAAAAAAAAGACACTGTTTTACCATGAAATTGAGTAGCTAACTTTTGGAAACAGGTTTTACAGGGGTTTTTTTGCATGTTTATAATAATGGTCATTTTTAAACACAGGATTGTTGTGGTTTGTACAGACTTGACAAATGTTAATAAGAAATCATAATCCAAGTATTTTTTTAAGTTAAAATAACCATGAAAGGTAAACATTTTTAACTGATTGACAACTTGTAGGCAGTCACAAGAGTACAACTAAAGATACTCATGAAAAAGAACTTCCAGAACTGCTTCAGAAAGTAGCAAGAATGAGACAGCCGGGCATGGTGGTGCACGCCTATAATCCCAGGACTTGGGAGGCTGATGCAGGAGGATGGTTGCAAGTTTGAGACCAGCCTGGGCTACAAAGTGAGCTCAAGGTCAGCCTGAACTGCATAGTGAGACCCTATCTCAAAAAGACAGGAAAAAAAAAAAAAAAGTGGCAAGAATGATACACTAAGTATGTTTGAAGAAAGGGGAGTGTTTTGAGGGGGAATAATGGCAATGTATCACACTGAAATAAATTTCAAATTCAAACACACACCGTATTTTTCAATTATGCCTCATATTTACTTTGCTTTATACAATATAATCATACTTGCCATGTGATTTTTTTTTTGGTGAAGGAGTTGAGACAGGGTCTCAGTATGTAGTTCAGGCTGGTCTTGAACTTGCTTCTGTAGCCCAGGCTGGCCTCAAACTCACAGTGATCCTGCCTTGGCCTCCTGAGTGCTGGGACTACCAGCATGCGCCACCACGCCTGGCTGTCATATGATAATTAAAAACTATAGCAGAGGCCATCATGAACAGAGTTGTATAGAAACTGTTTATCAATTCTATCAACAGGCTTTAAAAGCCATATATTAAGTTCTCAAAATTTAAGATGCCATAGAAATAATTTTGTTTCCCGAAAACTATTAAGCTCTGAAAAAAAACATGTCACTTTAATACCAACTTTATAAAGGGGAAAAGGGAAACACCTTCAAAATCCTATTCCTTAAAACAAGACAAGACATACCCGACACGACACTGAGGCCTGGTGTGCTGGGGCGGGAACTGACCTCCCTGACATCTGTATCATCAGACGTGCTGCCCAGTCCAGAACAACTCTCCAGCTCTTGCAGGCGCTCCTCCTGTTTTAGGTCTGGGGCCTCTACACAGAAAATAAGAGGAGTCACCTTAGTCACTCTACTAACATGCTATGATTTAAGCTTTTTATAGTCTAGATAAAGGTATCAAGATATGAATAAAATCAGTGTATATAGAATTCTATCAAGTGTTATAGAAGTTAAGATTGTAATTTCACTGCAATACAAGCCAATACATTGTATGAAGATGCAGTTTTTCTTTTCTTTTCTTTTTTTGTCTTTCTGGGACAGGGTTACACTATGCAGTTCAGGCTGGCCTTGAGCTCACTTTGTAGCCTTGGTTGGTCTCAAACTTGCAACAAACCTCCTGCCTCAACCTCCCCAGTGCTGGGATTACAGGCGTGTGCCACCACACCTGGCAGATGAAGTTTTTCTAGATCACTAATCCCTTAAAGTACATTGTTGGTTAATATGTAAAACTAGACAAAAACAAGAAGATACAGGATAGCATAGCATTAAATCAACTGCTTCCTAAAAAACAACCTCCACAGATATTCAAAAGACGATAAACTAATCCTACTGTGTCCACTTCTCTCCAGACAAGGTTAGCATGTCTGAATGCTTTAATATAGCATCATAAAACACCAATCAGGATAACTTCGTTATTGTTAAGCCAGGCAAATCAGACAGAATGTAATGCAGACATAGTTACATATATTTACATTCTGGTAGCTGATGTTTAGTTAAAGGCAAAGATTTGTCATTACAATCAGAAAAAAAAAGTAGAAATACAATAAAAAAGAAATACGGGCTGGGGATTTAGCTCAGCGGCACAGCACCTGCCTGGCAAGCGCAAGGTCATGAGTTCAATTCCCAGTACCGGAAAAAAAAAACAAAAAAAAAAGAAAGAAAGAAAAAAGCCAGCCAGGCGTGGGGGCACATGCCTATAATCCCAGCACTTGGGAGGCTGAGGCAGGAGGATTGTTGTGAGTTCGAGACCAGCCTGGGCTGCAAAGTGAGCTCAAGGCCAGCCTGTACTGCATAGCAAGACCCTGTCTCAAAGAGACAATCAATCAATCAATCAATGAAATAAAAAAGGCATAAAACAGTTTAGACATTTTTAATAATAAACTTATACAGAAAAATACTCAGGACTATAATCTCTATTTCAAATTATTTTAAAAATACATTAAACATCTTTTAAGGGCCAGGGATATAGCTCAGTGGCACAAGTACCTGCCTGGCAAACACAAGATCCTCAGTTCAATTCCCAGGACCGCCCCCCCCACCACCACCACAAAAAAAAACCCAGCATCTTTTAGGAGCTACGTTGTCCCCTGGGATAAATAATAAGCATGGTGACCAGGTAGTCAGCCACTCAGGGTCTGAGCTGTGTAGCTATTCCTATCTTGGAACAAATTGGCAACAGATACTGAACTCACTGATACACAGAACCCTGAAGAGTTACAAATAATAGCTTCCAAAATAAATGAAATCCCAGCACTTGGGAGGCTGAGGCAAGGGGATCATTCCGAGTTCAAGACCAGCCTGGGCTACAAAGTGAGCTCAAGGCCAGCCTGAACTACATAGCAAGACCCTGTCTCAAAAAGACAAAAAAAAAAAAAAAATAATAAATGAGTAGAGTCAGAAAGCACCAGTCATTTTAGTCCATGCTATCCAATGCTGCATTTTTCTCTTAATCTTAAAGAGAATTTAAAAGAAGATACAGAGTTTCAAAACAAGATGATGGGAAATTAAGAATGGCTATTATAATAGAAATTAGAAGTATGTTGCATTTTTTAATGGACACAAAAATGCCCTAATTTTTCATTTGAAATTCACAGCAATATGATTAATTTGTAGTTGCCAAATATGTATTTGACAAGATATATCTAATATAGAAATTAGGTTATCATACATTTAAATTTCTGTGCAAATGAAAAAGCAAAAATTGACAGGATACTAACCTGAGTCACTTGGCAATACCTCTACACTCCAAGCTTCACTTGTTGTCTCCGATATGGTAGAACCAGTGCAAGGGTCAAGGAGCACTGACCCTGAACCAGGAAGGCACAGCAAACTGCCTAACATGTTCTCTGCTGCTGCACCTGTATCACCCGCAGGAAAAAAAATTAACAAAGACCTGAGGGAGAGAATAGTGAAAGTGAAGAAAGGCCACACACCAAGCTAACAAAATCTTTCCTCTACAGATGTGGCGGTACATGTCTGTGATCCCAGCACTCAGGAGGCTGAGGCAGAAGGATCACTGAGAGTTTGAGGACAGCCTGGGTGGGCTACATAGTGAGTTCAAAATCAGCCTGAAGTATATAGTGAGACCTTGTCTCATAAAACCAAAAAATATATCAATAAATAAAACCTTTCCTCTACCCACAAGAAAAAAACCAAGGTAAGAATTCCAATAAGCAGCCAGATATGGTGGCACATGCCTGTAATCCCAGCACTCAGGAGGCTGAGGCAGGAGGATCACTGTGACTTTGTGACCAGCCTGGGCTGCAAAATGAGTTCAAGGTCAGCCTGAACTGCATAAAAGACCCTATCTCAAAAAATAAAAAGACCAAAAAAAAAAAAAAAAAGAACCAAAAAAACCAGATATATCATAAAAGAATTACAAATAAAACAATATACAGAGCCAGGCATGGTAGTGCACGCCTGTAATCCCAGTACTCAGGAGGCTGAGGCAGGAGGATCACTGCAAGTTCGAGACCAGCCCAGGCTACAAAGTGAGCTCAAGGCCAGCCTGAACTGCATAGTGAGACCTTGTCTCCAAAAAAAAAAAAAAATTAAAAACTTGCTTAAATTCAGTAATGGTTGGATGGGAAGCCCTTCTGATCTTACCGTGTACCACGTCATCAGAGGAGAGCAGGCTGGTCTAACTAGATAGGGGATGGTACTACACGCTTAGTAGCAACAAAAAAAATTAAGAAGTTGCCTAAACATAATGGGGACAGGGAAGCAGGGGTTAGTGAGTGGGAGAAGAGAAGAAACAAAACTGGCCATGTGCGTCTACGGTTGAAGCTCAGTGAACGGTGCAGTGCATTCATATAATTCTCTCATGTACTTGTTTGACATAAAAAGAAAATGAAAGCCGGGCATGGTGGCGCACTCCTGTAATCCCAGCACTCGGGAGACTGAGGCAGGAGGATCGTTGTAAGTTCAAGGCTAGCTTGGGCTACAAAGTGAGCTCAATGCCAGCCTGAACTGCATAGACAGACCATGTCTCAAAAAGACAAAAAAGAAAAAGAAAATGGAGATGGTAGTTACAAGACTGTATGAATCTTTCAGAATTGAGACTTTTTTTTTTTTTTTCAGTACTGAGGATCGAACTCACGACCTTGCACTTGCCAGGTAGGCGCTTACGCCACTGAGCAATATCCCCAGCCCCAGACAATAATATTTTAAAGAGAGTTAATCCTTAATGTATGTAAACTATAGTTAACAAATGACATTTTAAAATAAAAAAATCTGGATACCCTATGGAACAGAATCCTTCCACACATGAATTAATTTCTTTTTTAAAGAACTTCAATATAATCTTATTTAAAAAGATTTTGCAGCTCTCCTCTTTAAGAATTCTCACCTTAAGGTAAATTACTTAGTCTCAAGAGAATATGCTAAGAAAACCTACTGTGCACTATAAGTAAGAATGAACCAGAAGCCAACTTGAAATACTGGTTTTTCTCATTTCTTTTTTAGAGAAAGGGGGGTGTTAAAGTCAAAGAAGGAAAGCACTACCTATATGTCAGTTAAAAAAAAGTATGCAAATGTCTTTTTCAGTACAAAGACCTCTGTTTCTCAGTTAGTGTTGACTCTCTCCCCGGGGTGGGGGATCCGAGTCATTAAACAGCAATCTTCCAGAGACACTGAGAAGCAGTTACCTGCAATTTCCTGCAAGCGATCTTCGTCGATGTTAGGATCAAAGTCACTGCCCAAGACATCTGTGCTCCAGGTCTCACTCACTGTTTCTGATATGTCCCTATCATCTGTTAGTCCCATCATGTCACGAATCTCAAATTTTCTTAGTTTATCATCAAGATTATCTTGTGTCGTAGCTATCAAAAACAAATGAAGCATTTTAAAAATGGGAGCATAGCTATAACTACTAAACTGTCTCTGAACTTCAAGTGACGTACTTTATTGTTTTGTCACTACTAAGCGTGTAGTACCATCCCCTATCTAGTTAGACCAGCCTGCTCTCCACTGACGACATGATCCACGTTGAGATCAGAAGGGCTTCCCATCCAACCATTACTGACTATAGATGTATGAGAGAGCCCAGTCCAAATGTGAAGAATCAACCAGCTGACCCAAACTTGAAAGTAAACATAAACTCTGGGGCTGGTGTATTTATTGTGTACCATTACTATAGTAATAATTAACTGATAAACCCATACTAAAAGTGTTTTTTGCTGGACATGGTGGCGCATTCCTATAACTCCAGTACTCATGAGGCTGAGGCAGGGGGATCACTGTGAGTTCAAGGCCCGCCTGGGCTACACAGTGAGTTCAGATCTAGCTTGAACTACATAGTGAGACCCTCTCTCAAAAAACATACATACAGGGGCTGGGGATTTAGCTCAGTGGCAAAAGCGCTTGCCTGGCAAG